CAGTGGAATGCATTTGTCTGGTGGCAGCATGGTGGCAATGGTCACAGTGACTTGGGATTGAGAGTAACCCTGTGCATTGCACTTTGTTCGGTCAGGGTGAGGGGCTCTGTCTGCCTTTAAGGAATCACTGAGCTGCCTGGGACCCAAGGAGCACCGATGTCTCGGGGAGACTCAGTGATGTTCAGACTCTTGCTTCCCTCTGAACAAGACACCATCCAAACAGCATGCCAACGTCAGTCATCTTCTGGAATGTTCTTCCCCCAGTCGTTCCCATGAGGGCCTCTCCACTTCTCTCCAGTCAGCTGAGAAGCTCCCTGGCCAGAGCGCCTCTCCCCGTCCCGTTGCTGACCTGTGCCCGCCCCCCACGGCACACACCTTCTCGGCCGCCCTCCTCTGTGCGCCCTGTGTTTTCTCTCCCTAGTACTTATCTCTGTCTGACGTGACACGCTCGTTTGCTGGCTGTCTGCCATGCCCTGGATGAATGTTCTAAGCTCTTCCATGAACTCTGCTTGCTTTCTAATCTGCAGTGCCATTTCCTCTCACTGCAAGAGGCTTTCTTCCTTTTGTAGCCCGAGAGCTACAGGTATGAGTTACGTTCCCCCCGTCAGTTGATCCTTTGTGAGCAAAGACCAATCCTTGTTTTCCCAAACCCATTGCCAGATGATGAGAGGCCTAATGTCCTTTCCTTTCCAGTAGCTACTTTCTTGAATAAAATGGCTGTGTCATAAATAACAGCCCCAGCCAGCTGATGGCCATGCTTTCAGGAAAGGAAGGTATTTTTTATTTTCACGTCCTATTTTTAGGCCCAGCAAACTGCCTTGCATAAAACAGGTGCCTCAAATATCTTTGTAAAATGACCGAGTTTCCTTGAAACTTGATTAGTCATAATTTTATTTCTTAAGGGTTGGGACAAACATTAGAAGGGTCTCGAGCTATTAATTACCAAAAAGAAAGATTTCTCTTTTCCCTTTTTATTTAGTTGTTATTTTTGTTTTTTGTTTTGAGACAGGGTCTTGCTCTATCTCCCACAGTAGAGCACAATGGTGTCAGGGCTCACTGCAACCTTAAACTCCTGGGTTTAAACATCCTTCTGCCTTAGCCTGAGTAGCAGGGACTACAGGCATGTGCTACTATGCCTGGCTAATTTTTCTATTTTTTGTAGAGATTGGGTCTCGCTATGTTGCCCAGGCGAGTCTCAAACTCCTGGCCTCAAGCGATCCTCCTGCCTTGGCCTCCCAAAGTGCTGGGATTATAGGCATGAGTCACCATGCCTGGGCTAGGTGGTGTTTTAAAATATTTTTAATTGGTTTTTTTTTTTTTTTTTTTTTGGAGACAGAGTCTCACTGTGTTGCCCGGGCTAGAGTGAGTGCCGTGGTATCATCCTAGCTCACAGCAACCTCAAACTCCTGGGTTCAAGCAATCCTACTGCCTCAGCCTCCTGAGTAGCTGGGACTACAGGCATGTGCCACCATGCCTGGCTGATTTTTTCTATGTATTTTTAGTTGTCTGATTAATTTCTTTCTATTTTTAGTAGAGACGGGGTCTCGCTCTCGCTCAGGCTGGTTTCGAACTCCTGAGCTCAAACAATCTGCCCGCCTCGGCCTCCCAGAGAGCTAGGATTACAGGCGTGAGCCACCGCGCCCGGCCTAACACAGAATTCTAAAAGCAATATCATTCTTATTTTCAGTGACTATGCAACATCAGCAACTGACTTGGAAATCAGATTTTTCAGTTTAATCATTCATAAATACAGTCTTCCCTCAGTATCCAAGGGCAATTGGTTCCAGGATCCCCTGAGTATACAAAATCCACAGATGCTGAAGTCCCTGATACAAAATGGTGTAGTATTTGCATATAACCTATGCACATCGTCTCGTATACATTAACACATTAACTGCCATGTGAGTTGTATTTAACTCACGCTAGTTTTGAGCCCAGGGCCTCATGAAACACATGTAATTCACATGTCTCTCTACCTTAGGAGCCATGAGAGCTATTTTTCAAGTTGCATATAACTCACACACAGAAAACAATAGAAAATAACAAATTTGTCATTAAATTAAAAAGGATTGTTTTGTTTTCGAAGTTTTTATTCTATTTTCATAATAAAACACCATGACTCCAAGGAAAAAATTTTTTTCTAGTGTGGCAGTCAATGTGTTAAATCATCTCTCGATTACTTATAATACCTAATACAATGTAAATGCTATGTAAATATTTCGAAGTTTTTATTCTATTTTCATAATAAAACACCGTGACTCCAAGGAAAAAATTTTTTTCTAGTGTGGCAATGTGTTAAATCATCTCTCGATTACTTATAATACCTAATACAATGTAAATGCTATGTAAATAGTTCTGATACTGTATTGTCTTTTTATTTGTATTATTTCTTATTGTTTTTTCCCCACATAGTTCCTGTCCATCATTGGTTGAATGCACAGATGCAAAGATCAGCAGATACAGAGAGCTGACGCTATTCAAATTACCTAAACCTCTAATTTTTTTTTCCGAAGAGGTGGAGTCTTGCTCTGTCGCCCAGGCTGGAGTGCAGTGGCGCGATCATAGCTCACTGCAGCCTAGTGAAGCCATCCTCCCGCCTCAGGCTCCTGAGTAGCTGGGACTACAGGTACCCTCGCCACCACGCCTGGCTACCTCTAGTTTTTTCAACCTCCCACTTTTTTTTTAATGCAAGTTAAACAAGAGAAATACATTTGTCATTGAGAGCTCTAATGCTAACAAACATTTGTTTCTAACTCAAGAGTCTATGTAATATTTTAGTATAATGAGCTCTAAGTTCATACTGCAAACAACTGCATGAGCTCAGCTGAGTTTATGATTTCACGGGTGGGGAAAACTGCCCCTGTTTCTGAGAGAGCCAGGACTTAAACCCTGCTTTCTGGTGCCAAATTAGGTTCTCTTTTTACTGTAAGTTGTTGCTTTCTCTATGTAGTTCCCGGTTGGATGCTATCTTTCATTTTGTTGCTGTTGTTGCATTGAAATCTCAGTCTCCACTTCAAGTAGACAACATCCTCGCAGGGGTGTAAATAATCACCAATGCATTAAGGGTAGAAAATACTTTTCAAGGTAGACTTGGAGGATTTCAAAGTTAGGGGAGACCTTAACGGTAATTTATACAAGGACCATCTGAGGTTTGAATCTCTTCTAACACCCACATCCGTGTTCAATCAACATTTGAGCATCTCCAAGGCTGGAGACATCCATATCATTTGAAAGAGCTCAGTTCACCTTTGAGTAGTTGGGGTGCTACAAAGTTCTTTTTTATTATTTCAAAACCGTACCCTTTGTAATTTGGATCTAATGTGTTTTTTTCTAGAAGCTCTTTACTCAATAGTACCTTAACTATTTCAGCTTGTATGCCAAAATGTTTTTTTCTTTAAGCCAATAACAAAAATGGCAACAAATCACTACAATAGCTACTGTTTATTTGGGGTCTCCCACAGGTCAGATACTGTAATATCTCCTTGTATATACATTATTTGGATGTCTGCTATATATGTTATCTGCCAGATGTGTAAGGGGCCTTTAGAAACAAAGATAACAATAGCTAATATTTTTTGAATATTTACAATGGGCCAGGTTCTCTTTTAGTACTTTAAATATATTTAAATTTCACAATTCCAAGAGGTAGGGACCATTATTATCCTCATTTTCCAGATGAAACCACTGAGGCAGCACAGTTGCTCCAGGTCACACAGCTAGTAAGTGACAGCTTCGACTCTTAACCACTGCACAGACTGCCTCTGAGAAAATGCCAGGGAGATAGAAAGAGCATAGTGCTTGTCCTCTTGTAGCTTTCGGTCTACAGCAGCAAGGCAGGCAGAAATACACATCCTCACTGTGAGGTAAAGGAGGACGCAAAGCGATCGGGCAGCACGGAGCGCTGGCTGTTCTCACCCAAGAACAGAGCCAACACCCACTTGGAAGAATAAGCAGGAGGAGAGGAGTAACGTTTAGGAGGAGGTGGGCTGGGAGAAGGGCGTGTTGGACAAAGGGCAGGGTATGACCAAAGGAACAGAGATGAGAGACAGCAGAGTATGCAAGGAAAGGGTAGCGGTCTGGGATGCTAGAAGATGCTCTGAAGCCAACTGGCAGCAGGAAGTGCAACCGAGTCACAGCCCGCCCCCAGGTGCAGATGTGTTCCCGCGGCGTAAACAAGGTTTGTAGACATTGCGTCACATTTTAAATGGAGACATGGAGGTTACTATTAAAGAAAGCCTTTCTGGAAGAAGAGGAATATTTACACCATGAGAAATTCATATTGACACATTTTATGTTTTCTTAAAGTAGGTGAGCACTGTTAGCACGGTCCTTTGTCACATCATTTCCTTGTCAGGATGTGTGTTTTAATCCCCGTGTGGATGTGTGCGCATACCTGTCCTACTGCAGCAACTTCCTTCCCATGCAGAGTTCAGCACCCCCGCACGGACACCACTTTCCAAGCCCAGCAAACGCATTAACAGATGCATAACCTAGCCAGACGATCTTTGCTTATCATTCGTCCAAATGTTTTATAACTTGGATTCATCATCATTCTTGGGCAAAAACCAAATATTGCTGCTTATTTTTAAACCCAGCGACATACAGCAGACAATCTAAGCAGAGAACATCTAGCTTTATCTAGCTGGAAGTGTTAATCTGCATAACTAAAGGAAGCCAGGTGGTCAGCGGCCCCCACATCCACACTGACATTTTACTCAACAATAACAAGTTGTATGTTAATTGGTTTCCATGGTTTGTTCATCTCAGCCGCTTTGCAGGTGGCAGAGGAGATGCAGCCTGTCTCTCTTCCTGTTAAGAAGTGAATGATGTTACATTCACATTCATCCCCCAACACGTTATACACTAGTGTTTCATAAATATAAGAAAGGAGGTTTATCCTGGCAGGTTAAGAGACAGTGATGGGCCCGACTCTACTATTTTGCCTGCTCTCTTTCCTATTACGTTTTGTTTTTCCTGCAAGAAACATTTCTCTCAAGTGCATGCAAGATACTGATGAATTCCTTTCCGATCTGAATTCAGTGAAGCCCAAAGAATACGCTCTAAGAAGTAAGTAGGTTTTTCCTTGGCCCACTGGGCAGGTGAACACAGGGCAGTCTGAGATTGGTGCTGGGACCATTCTAGACAATCTCTTGAGAATTAAAAACACAGAACCAAATAGAGAAGATGAGCCTTAATTTACAAGTTGTGCCAGGAATCAAGGAGGGAGCAAGAGTTTTTATTGCAGAAGGCTCTGTCTCCAGTCTAGCCAGCAGGGATAGCAAGAAGACCAAACCCTTGATGGGAACTGTTTACACATTGTACAATGCTGTTTTACTATTATTGATGTTGATAACATTTCACTGTTGTAGGAGATAGCTTGGCTTCTTTTTCTAGACATTTAGTCTGCATTTGATAATGAGTTGTTTCCTTATTCAGGGAAAAAGTCTTGCCTATTATGGGTTCGATAGTAAATTCTAAGGAGTGTGTTGGTAAATGTATCGGGTCAAGCTGGAAGAAGTGAGATTGTAGCCAAGCCTCTTTGCATGAGACATGGATGGACTTCAGATGGCTGTAATTTGCTTTTTGTGAGTTTCCCCAAAATTATTCTCACCAGTAAAGGGACACATACCTTCCTGTCGGCAAGGGGCAGTAAATCAGATTGTTTTCCTTGGGGTAACCTCTCCTTCAAGAGAAGGACTCATTGTCGATGCTGATGAAAACCACTAACAAGGAAAAATGTAAAAACTCACTCTTTCCAGAGCTAGATAAGCTAACATAGCAATTTCCACTTACATTTTGAATGCATGACTAATTTACTTTGTATTGAAAAACACTTAGTAGCATAATATACATCATAATGATGAATAACTTTGATCTAATATTTTATAATTCAAAATAGTGTACAGTTGCCATTCCGCACTGGATTGGATGTCCTGGTATTGAATGAAATGGTGGGAAAACATAAATCCAATTAATTCAACAGCCATCTTCTTCAAGTCCCATTTTGAAACTGATTATGTTTTGCTACAACACTTGGTGATATTGATAGGGAACATTCTGACAAAACTGCGCCAAATACACTGGCCAAGAAACTCCAGAAGGTGCGATGACTGGCTCAGATTTCTGGTGGTGAGGTGGTGGCACATATTGTCATCATTAGTCACAGCCATGTCAACGGTATTTGCCTTGCAAGTTGCTCTAGGCATACACCAACCATGCTCCATCTGTAGGAGCCTGAACATTGAAAATCTCTTTTAGTTAAAAAAAAATTTTCCCAAGATAATGGTTCAAGAAAGAATCGAATGGTTTACATAAATGGGATAGATGACTGTTCATTTATTGTAATCGTTTTAACCGATTTTCATTCTGACATACCAGAAAATACTTGGCATTGTTCCTTTGACATTTTCCCTGAGATTTTTGAGCACAGCATGTGGCTCTGACCTTAGTTCTCAGCGTGGTTTTCCTGGCAGTCGTGTGGATGGGAAAATAATGAGAGTCCGTGGTTAGTGAGGACTTTTATGAGACAGGCGCCCTTCTGAGGCCTGTGCAGGAGCTATCCTATATCATCCTAACTACCACCCTGTGATGGGAGAGGAGTGTCATTATCATTTGTTTTATTAATGAGGAAACCAAACCACAGCCATGTGAAGTATCTTGCCTGAAGTATGTGGTAGAAATAGGACTTGAGCCCATAGCATCCGAGTCCCGAGTCTGCGCTTTCAGTCATTGCCTAAAATAGGCAACAAGAGAAACAAGAAAAAACAAAAGCAGAACCCAGCCGCAGAGAGGAATGAAGCACAGCTGCTTATATCCACGTGGAGGAATCATACAGAGATCTCTTCTACCGTACATGAGTTTACACGAATGCAAATTAAGGCTCCATGTATGTCGTACAAATGCTAAAGAGCACATGATAAAACCTCCGCGTCCACTCCTGGGTTGCCTTGGAGGGGTGGTGAGGGCAGGAATGGAGCTGGGACACACTAGATTTCAAGTGACGGGTCAAGTTTTATTTTTTAAGGTGATGGTGAGAAAACTGGCATTTGTTTTATTCTTTGTGCTTTTTAATATATGAACTATTGCAATAACAACATTTTTAAGCGCCACCCCTAATCCCAAGCGCAGAGATGGTAACAGGCGTGGGCTATATTTGAGGAGCTCAGAGAGTGGGTGGGAGATGGGGAGTAAGGTGGAGAGAGGGTCGTTGAAATTCGTGCCCAGATGTTTGGTCTTGAAGAAGGGAATAGGAGCCGTGGCTGTTGCAGAACACGGGAGATTCAGACTCAGTCTGGCAGGGGGTGGGATGGATTAAAGGGGCAGACATCACAGGAAAGACTACAGTGATCTACCTCTAAAACGAGGCTCCGTTCCTCTCTTTCCACCATCCTTCCCCTTTGCTTTCTAACAGTCCCACGCCCAGCATCTTAATGGGAGCAAAACCCACAGGACACTTTTGTGTGCTTTGATTTTGCCACCCTCTTGGCTTCTCAGGTCTTATTTTATGCCCTGTTCACTACTGAAGTCCTCAGGTGAGTGTACTGGTCTCTGTGCAACTGGTTTTGTTATTTTAAACTTCGTAATCCGCAGAAACCTACATTCAATCACATACAAAAACTGTATCCTACAAGATCACTGGCATCCTGCCGCCTGAGTCATCATTTTTTCGCAATTTTCTTTCTCTGTGAGTACTAGGGAGTCACTGCCTTCCTCTTTCTTAACAGTCGTCTATTTCCAGTTCAAGAATGGTCCCATCTGGGATGTCCTTTTGTGAAGACGATTGGTCTCCCTTCTCCTCACCTTTTTCTCTCTGCCTGATCCCCTGGACTTTCCCCCGGGCACTTTGTCCCCTTCCTCATCGTCCTTTTCTTGTGAACGAATCGAGTTTTAGAGCCAGGACATGGACATTATTCTAGGCTGGCAATCCTAAGGCCTGGGTTCCCCTGCTGGTTAGGCCAACAACCAGCAGTGTGACCTCACCTGAGCCACGTCACCTTGCCCAACAAGTGTCCTCACCTGTGAAATGGCCCAATTCTGAAAACCTACAGCAGCTTTAAAGAATTCTGATTCCTAGGCCCAGCGGTGGGCTACAGCCGGTCTACACTGGCTTGTGAGAGCCAATTGTTCAATTGTCAAGCCAGTTGTTGAACAGTTTCACACAAATTTACAATTAAATGAATTGTATTAAAAATAAAAGTGATATTCAACATTTATCACTTCCTATGTTACTGTATTTTGCTATCATCTGCGCTTTTGACGCTATTTTCATCTCTTGTGTCTGTGTGGTGGAAGTTACTGTTTTGCTACTGCACATGGCCTTGTATGTTCAGGGTCATGGCCGGAGCCCTGGGAGCTAGAAGTCAGCCGTGTGGGAGCATCTTCCCCAGGGAAGTCAGCGGTTGCTAACAGTTAGGGCTTTAGTCTTTGGACTATCTAGTCTAGACTGAAGAAACCGATGGATAAAATGTTAAGAGTACAGATTAACTTAAAAGTATATAGTGTCTATAAGTATTACATTATGAATAGCACAAAATGATGAGGAAATGTTCTTCAGTACTCAAACCCTCATCTGATTCGGCAAGAAAGCTGCACGCATCACGGACCAAGGAGTGCAGTTCTGACGTACATCTTTCCTGTTTCACCGCTGTATTACTCGTTAAGGTGAACAACAAGATTCAACGTTCCCATCAGGACTATACTTGGTCAACTGAAATCACAAATTGGCTACAGGTACAGGAGTTTGGAACAAATTAATCAAAGCAGTCTGTGAGAATCAGCTGGGTACATGTGGAATTGATACTAAGGAAAACTGTAAATTTCATTATTTTTGGTAATTTACGTTATGGGCTGAACTGTGTTCCCCTCAAATTCATATGTTGAAGTCCTCACCCCAGTATCTCAGAATGTGATTGTATTTGGAGACAGGGTCTTCAAAGAGATAATGAAGCTAAAATGAGATGAGTTAGGAAGGCCCTAAACTGAGGACTGGTGTCCTTACAAGAGGTTAGGACGCAGACGTGCACAGAGGGAAGACCGTGTGAGAACAAAGCCAGGGGGCGTCTAGAAGAACAGAGGCCTCAGAAGAAACCAAGCCTGGCAGCACCTTGATTTCAGACACAGAGCCCCCAGAACGGGGAGAAAACCAATTCCTGCCGTGCAAGCACCCAATCTGGTACTTCGTTACGGCAGCCTAGCAAATGAACGCAGCGTGCCACGTGTTCTTTATATCCTATGATTTATAACAATACCCACTTGGAGAGTGTTGTGGGTTGAATTGTGGTTCTCAAAAAAATATGCTGAAACCCTAATCCCCTGGTTTCTGTGGATATGACCTTATTTGGAAACAGGGTCTCTGCAGATATATTAATAGTTAAATTAAGATAAGGTGATACTAGATTGGGGTGGCCCCTAATCCAATGACTGGTGTCCTTATAAGAGGGAAATCTGGACATGGAGACACACAGGAGAGACTGGAGTGATGTGCTTCCTGGCCATGAAATGCCAAGGATTGCTGGCACCCTTAGAAGCCTGGGGAGAGGCACAGAGCAGATGTCCACAGAGCCTCCGGAAGGAACCAACACTGCCAACCCCTTAATTTTGAGCTTCTAGTCTCTGGAACTGAGAGAGAATAAATTTCTGTTGTTTTAAGCCACCCAGTTTGTGGAAATTTCAGATGGCTCTAGGAAACTAGAACAAAGAGCCATGGCCTCTCAGACACATTCACTAGAATGAAAAGCATGCATTTATCATCTAGCACGGAAAGTAAAAGCCAATCTGCCTCAGGGCCTGGGACTCCTTTGCCTGGAGAGGTAGCAGCCCCGCCCAGGGCAAGCCGCCCTGCAACAGCGCTGTGTGTAGCAGCGGCCGGCGGGGGAAGCTGTGCCGTGGGATCATCACGGCGGCACCGGCTCCCACGGGTCCACGCGGTTTCTGCATTTCCCTGCTCTTTGTTCCTCTGGGACAGCATGTGGGGAGGGAGGAGAGGGCCCTGGCTCTCCAGCAGCCTGCGGGGCTTTTCATTTCCTGTTTTCTCTATTCTCATCACATCTTTGAAATCTTCCCCAGGA